CATCCTTCCTAACTGCCCCACACCCCTCTTAGGGACTTTCTCCACCTTTGGGGCATCTATGTCCATTCCCACTGGGGATTAAGCACAAACCTTTATACTTAACATTTGTACCTTCTTCTCCCCACCTCTCCACCCCAGACTCTCTCCCTTCCCTTGGTTAATCCTGTAGTGTGGGATACTTCCCACCTGGAAACTGCCTCCCACCATACCCCCACCAGGTCTAAAAGACCCTACAAAAACTATTACTGTTCCCCAATATCCTTTAAGCCCAGAAGGCCATAGAGGTCTAAAACCTATTATAGGCCGCCTCCTCCAAGCTAACATACTCATTCCCACTCACTTCCCCCATAACACACTTATACTTCGAGTCAACAAACCAGATGGCTCTTATCACTTAGTACAGGCCCTCATACATATTAATGCCACTGTCCACCCCATATATCTTTTACTTTGTAGCCCCTCCTGAGAGACCCGTCTCCAACATACAACTAGTCTTTTAAACTTTTTAGATGAGAAGGGTTACATGATATCGCCAAAGAAGGCTCAGCTAATTTCCACTTCTGTCACCTTCCTGGGACTTCTCATGACACCAGACACTCGCACAACTCTTCCAGCTCAAAAACAGGCAATGCATTCTCTTCCTTTCCCACGTACTAAGCGTGATATACTCTCTTTCTTGGGACTCAAGAGATATTTTCGCATCTAGATTTCAAACTTTTCTCTTACTGCTGAACCTCTCTATGAAGCTACCGAAGGCAATATAGATGAGCCCTTGCAAGAGAGTCCTCCCTAGAAACCCCATTCCAAAGCCTAATGAAGGCTCTTCTACAAGCATCCACCTTGAGCCTTCCTAACCCACTTAAACCTTTCCTCATCTCTATTCATAGCTCTAAGGGGCAAACACTGGGTCCCCTGGCCCAAAAGGCCAGAGGCTATTACACCTGTGGCCTGTTTCTCCGAATAATTAGATGGAGTTTATCAAGGTTGGCTCCAATGCCTAAGGGTTCTAAGCCACAGCAGCCCTTCTCATACCTGAGACCTAGAAACTAACCCTTTATCATCTCTTACAAATCTGGCTCTCATGGGTTGTAAGACTTTCTCAGCCACCAGACTTTTCGATCTGTATTGCCATCTTGCGTCCAAGTTCTTCACTCTACCCTTCTCCAGCCCACCATTACCTTTTATCGCTGCTCCTCTCTCAACCCAGCTACTTTCCTCCCCACCACCCTCTCTGATCCCCTCGAACCCCATTCCTGACCTGACTTCCTTGATTTTTCCCTGACTACATTTCACCACCTCACAGAACTCTTATTCCAAAGGACCTGGATTGGTTCACTGATGGTTTGCTTCTAAAACTCCCCCTTCTCCCGCTGGATATGCAATAACTGAGGGGCATCGTGATGACACCTCCTCCTCCTCTTCCCTGCAGAGGGTCATAGAGGCTGGGCCCCTACCTCAAGGCACTACCTCCCAACAGGCTGGATTGTTAACCTTGATTTGAGCCTTCACCTTAGTCAATGGAAAGACAGTCAATATATACACAGATTCCTGATATGCCTATAATATCATCCATTCCAATGCCCAGATATGGCAAGAAAGGGGCTTTCTGACAGCCCGAGGGACCCCTTTAATAAATGGCAAGCTGATAAAGCTCTTCTTGATGCTGCTCAGCTGCCAAGAAAAGCTGCTATTTTTCACTGCAAAGGCCACCAGAAGGGTAAACAATACCTATCTGAAGCTAACAACCAGGCTGATCTGACAGCTAAAGTGAGCCCGTCTTTTCTCTTTAGCTTAGCCCCTGTATATTCAAAGTAAGAAATCTCTCAGTTCCAACATCAGAAAGGACTCATGGTGGTTTCTAGATGAGACACTAATAGTCCCTTCTCTCCGAGTTACCTTTGTTAAAAACAAAAACAAAAACCCTCCATTCTCTGTGTCTCTTAAACTCCAACTCTCTTCTTCACTCCCTGAGATCACACATACATGTAACTCCCAGCATAAAAACTCTGTGTAATATATCTCAGACATGTAGCATCTGTCAAACTGCTAACCCTAAGATCAGGCCCATTCCGCAGTCCAGGCCTGTGGATTGCTCCCGGGGGAGGAATGGCAGATTGACTTCATGTATATACCACCAGTTAGGTGAACATGTTACCTTCTGGTGATGGTGGACACCATCTCGGGGTGGGTGGAAGCTTTCTCCACTACTAACAAAAGAGCTTCCACCATTTCCACTCTATTACATGATATTATCCCAAGATTTGGATTACCAGCTTCCACTCAGATAATGGAATGGAGTTCCCCTCCCAAACTACTCAAATAGTATCTGCCTCTTCACATCTCATGGCATTTTCACATTCCTTATCATCCCCCTCTTCAGGAAAAGTAGAACGGATGAACAGAATTTTAAAGCAGGCTCTGACTAAACTCTCCACCCCAGTCCACTAGACTGGGTAAAAATTCTTTTAGCTCTGTTAAGAATTAGATCTCTTCCCCGGAAGCCCTTAATGCTTAGCCCTTTTGAAATTCTCTATGGAAGGCCTCTCCTTTAACTGAAACTTCCTTCCTCTACAAAACTCTGAAGCTATTCCTCCTCTCACTTCTCCTCTTCTTACCTAAATGTGCCTTTACTTATGGACCTATGCAGACACCCACCTACCCAAACCATACTCTCTGCCTCTCCACTCTGTTCCTACCTTTCAACCTGGTGACTGGGTTTATCTAAAACAAAATGAGGCTGCCCTAAAACCAAAATGGAGTGGGCCCTACCAGGTGATATTGACAACCCCCACCACTGCCAAACTCAAAGCACACCCCCCTTGGGTACATTTTACTTCATTAAAACTAGTAATATCTCCCTCATATAAGTCTATGCCCACAGGACCCACCACTCTCAGGTTGATGCGCTAATGAGATGTCTCCACAAGGTAACTCTGCCTCATTTTGGCCATCTTTTCTACCTTGGGCAATGTCTCTGGTATCTCCTTTTGTCCTCATAATCATAGTACTCCTATTTCTTCCATGTCTAATTAATTTATTCCAAAGGTTCTTGCAGGAACAAATAACTGCTCTATCTCAAGCCTTCTCGCAGGAACAACACAAGACTGCTCTTCTTCAATCAATCTGATCTTGAGTATAGACCTCTGCTCGAGTCCTTGCTCCATGTCTATGCCCCTATCAGCGGGAAGTAGCCAGAGAGAAATCGGCACCCCATCTCCTTATCTATACCCAGAGTCAGGATTGATGAAACAAAGACATAAGCCTCAGCTATTCTTGCTCATTGCCCAAAAGATAAATAAACACTGGAATTTATTCCTTGCCCTTGAATCTCAATTGGGTCTCCCACCCTATTGCCTTGACACCCCTGCATTCTTTCCCAGGTTCCCAAGGCCCCAGCAGCCACCTGAAATGCCAGTTCCAGGAATTCCTCTCCACTGCTCCCCCTTACCACTTACCCCCACTCCCATCCCTATGCCCTGGAGTCAGGGCCTTCTGCCATGGGATCCCTCAGTGTATCTGCCAGCAGTTGGTCACCAACCTCTAAAAATTTATTTTCCCTGAATAAATTTGGTCTGGCTGTAAATTCGTACACTGCCTCTTCTCTATTCTGTGCCTCTTTTCCTAACGTTTTTGCTGCCCTGTGTGAGGAGGCACCAATCTGCTCCTGTTTTCCTAATAATAAAGTATACACATGAAGAACTAGTGAGTTCCAGTGAAAAGAAAGAGTCATATGCCCATAGTGACATTTCAGCTAATGATATAACATATACATTGGTGGTCCCATAAAAAGGTATTGCTTAGTGATGTCACAGCCATCATACCTTGTGAAAGTACAAAAGTATGATGTTCATACACGGATGAAATTGTCTAATGACACATACCCATTTTTTGAGTAATACATGACTGTATATGATATAAAATATACTTGTTTTCTGACTCAACCCAAAAGCCAGAATTGTCAACTATGGTAAGTTTTAGTAGAAATAATAGCATCTATATCAACATTGTGGTAAGTGGGGGAAATGGATTGTAAATGGCACCATCAGAAGGGCTACATTTGCATCAAGTCCTTTTTCCCACCAGCTCACTAATACTTCTTGGCTTGCTACATGGTGAAGCATTTTATTTTGTTGCTCAAAGTTAGGGCTTTGCATCTGTCAAGATGTCAACAAGTGCTGGGAAACAGATCTGAATCCGTGAGCTTAAAAATATACTTTGCTGGGCCCTACCCCTACGTCTCCCATAGGTTTAGGGGTAGGTCTCAGGCTTTTGCATTTTTAAACAAGCTCCCAGGTAATTATTTATGACCACCAATGTTGAAAAACTACTGTGTCAATATTATGTTTGGGAGCATGATGTCTTACTCATAAGTCTAAATAAACATAATGAACTATTATTGCAGCTTGAAGAAAAATCGAGCTTAGAAGGACTGCATTAAGGGATGTCAATGAAATGACTCCTTGGTCTGTTTATGTTTGTCAGGATTATTTCTCTCCTGTCCTAACCAAGGTCTATTTTATATTTACTTCTGTTATTTTGTAGGTCAAGAGAATATTTTATTGGCTCTCCAGGAAGTATATTATTTCAGTTTCCCAAATGATTATAGGTTTCACAGAAAGCATCCAAACCTTACTAAACATATTTAAGACAGAAATTTGTTCCTTAAGATGATGATGTGTTTTTGTTTTGCTTTGTGTTTTTGAAAGTGCTCATCATAATAGGAAGCTGATCTGAAAATCTGTCCATCAAACCCATCTGCCCTCTGCCTGGATGCCCCCTGGGAATGCTTTTCTGTCATCACAATGATGCTAACCAGCTTTCTAATCTCAAGAAGTGCCAGGACAATGTTCTGGCAGTGACACTATTTATTTATATCTATGGACTCTCAGACGTCATAGGTCTGGTATGTTATAAAAACTCTTGAAACTATAGGAAGGAAGGGGCCAAGAAGGGAAATGAGCATCTGCTTCCAGGAGAATTATATGTGCATGTATTCCTACCTGGCACTGAAGTTCCAAGTGCGACGAATACAACTGCAGTCACGGAATCTTTCAGGCCAATGGTGCATCCAAAGTGGGAAGCCAGGTCTCCAATGAAAGCTGTCAGTAGGCCAATCATGAGGATGGAGACAATGAAGCAAGCCCAGCCATTCCAGTATTCTGTAGGAGGGACGAAGGCAAAGAGGACCTTCCAGAATACAGTCAGAAAGTGCATCACATAATCGAAACAGGAGGGCAGCTTCTCCTCCCCACATTCATCATCGTCGTCATCTTCCCCTAGAGAGAAAGGAGAGAAGAACAATTCATCACAGCCTGTGTTACCAGAATCTCTCCTTTCTTAGTCCACCATCCTACGGAGACAGGAAGTTATCAGAGGTGGGTGAGTTCAGACTTCAGAGTCAATTAATCAATCAATTAATGATCCAGGTACTGAAATACCTCCTCAGTGTGGCTCCTTGGTCAATGGCAAAAACTTATCTGCCACTAAATTCTGCTCACATGTGATCAACACATTCTTTCTCCTATCATGTTACCTCTTGTGAGATTTGTCACTTCAGAAAAATGATAGGATTTCTTCCAAAAGCCTGGAAGGTTAAGAAAGAAGCCCTGGTTTTGAAGGAAGATAATGGTGGACAGAGTCCTTCCAGGGTTCTTTCTTTCCAACTCGAAGTCCAGCTCTGGAAATTAATGGTTATATAACCACCTAAAGGACAGTGTTCAAACAAGGCCCTTCATCACGGCTCTGGGCCTTGCATATTTTTCAAGCCTCATTTCCTATAACTATTTCAAACTCAAACTTTGTACTAGCCAAATGGAATTATTTGCATTTTTCTCCAACCATATGCACTTTCTTCTACTTTTGTTCCATGGAACTAACTGTTCTGTTTGTCCCAATCCCTTTAACCTTAGCCTTCCTCACTCATCCTTTAAAGTTCATCTCTCCTGTACAGCTTTCTCTGATCCCTCCCCTACCAGCCGTGCTAGGAACCCTTCCTCAGAGCTTCCGTGGCCCCAAAACTTGTAATTCTAGATCCGTTGTTTTCAAAGTGTGCTTCCTAAGCTAGCCGTTCCAACATCACCAGGGAACTTGTTGGAAGTACCACTTCTAAGTGCCACTGAATCAGATGCTTGGAGGGGAGAGGCAAGCAGTCGGGCTAGAACAGTCCCTCCCTCCGCAAGATTATGATGCGTGCTCATGTTTGGGATACATGGCTCTGAATTCTACCTGTTCCCTTTCCTTTCCTTTTTTAGCTGACTGTGAACCCTTCAAAGTAGGAATTCATTATTTTTGTGTCTCTGGCGTTTGGTACCATCTGCAGTGTTTGGAACAGGGTACTGATGTGCTTGTTAAATAAAGGGATGCATGTATTATATAATATATCTCAATTTCAAATACATATAAAACAATTTCACCATTTATGTCCCATTGTATCAATGCACAAACAAATGCAAAAAGCCTGGAATTTTATTACAGGAACAAGGAAGTCAAAAAATAGTACTCTAAAATCCAGATTTCATTTGTGATATGAGGATAATCCCCATTCACATATTTTAAAATTAGGAATGTTGAATGCCAACTTTTCTTGAAATGATAGCAAACATTTTCATGCATTTTGTGGTTCCTTAAATACTTGTTCATACACTCTGACCTTGTCATCCTGGATTTATTTTACTTTTCCAACCACTGCAGCTGGCAGCAGGTGGGGCTGTTGATGTTCCAGCTGACCATGTGACCTGTGATGGCCAACATGGAACAAATATGTGTGTTCTCCTTGAGATGCTCCACGGGGAGGCCATCTGGTGCAGATCATGTCTGGGAAAACCCTTGGAAACCATTTGAGGTTTAGGGGAAAATTGCCTCTCACAAAACATGAAAGAGGAATGTCTGGATGTGTCATCTATCATTTTATAGGAAGAGAGAAGAGGCCATGGTCTGCTGTCCCTAAGCACATGGTCAGAATTATATGCAAATAGGCTTCAGGAATCTGTGGAGGAAGCAGCACCATTTTGGAGGCTTTGGAAAGCCTCCAGTAAATCATTGCGAAGAAGCTCCAGTAGATGCATGGAATCAGCTTGGGAGACTAAGGAGGAAACTTGAATCGGGTCAGCTGGTTGAAACAAATGTGTGTGAGAGAGAGGGTTGCTGACTGTGCCCTCCAGTGTTCATGCTGTATGGTTACTTTGTTTCTAACGTCAACTGCATGAAGGCAGAAGGTGCTTTTTAATAATAATAACAAGGCTACACCATGTTTTCTATAAATTCGTATGTAGAAGCCCCAGCCCCAGTAGTTCAGCATGTGACCTTACTTGGAGATAGGACTTTTAAGAGGTAATTAAGATAAAGCGAAACTATCCATGTGGGGCCCTACCCTAGTTTGACTGATGTTCTCATAAAAAGAGGAGCTTGAGACATAGAGAGAAACACAAGGGAGATGTGTGCACAGTTGAAAGACCATGGAAGGGCCCAGAATGGCAGACATTTATTTGCAAGCCAAGGAGAGATGCCAAACCTACTTAGACTTCAGTTTTGGAATTCTGACATCTAGATAAATTTTTCTTGTTGAAACCACCCAGTGTACTATACTTTATTAGGAGAGCCCTGGCAAACTGACACAGCAGCCCTTAGGAAAATTTCTCTCTCATGGCATTTGAGCCTAGTATACATGTATAGGAAGATGACATTGTAGACCATAAATATGTACAATTGTTTTGTATCTACTAAGCCAAAAATTAATAATCTAGAAATTTTGTGCCACCAAGTTTTTCTTGTTTCCTTATATTTATTTTCTCCTTCCATTACTGCTCTTCCTACTTCTCAATTACTCTACGCTTAACTTCCATAGAAATCAGTGAGAGCTGCACTTTGAAGGAGAGAGGAAGACGAGAAGCCCAGAAAAGCACTTAGCTCTCCAGCTATATTTATTTTGTATTTGATCCTTTCCAATTTCTGTATTTGTGGAATTCTGTAATTTCTCAGGATATATAATTAAAATGTTTGGAAAATACTGAACTTTAATCAGTAATTGATAGACAGACTCTTCTGCATCAGATTCTACAAAATTACTTAATTTTGAGATCTAAGCCTCCTATTTTGAAGATAGACAAGAAAACAAATCATGAAGCTCCTCAGGAGAAATAACACTTAGAAATCGAGAATAGGTATTTGTCTTCAAGATGGAAATAATCACACCTTTCCCAGGAGAGATGTGCAGGGGGAATAATTAATCTTCTTTGAAAAGTGTGGATATTTCAAGGTAATTATTATCATGCTAGTTATCATTATTTTCTTTCACTTAAAATTGTTACTGTGTTTCCCTATCATTATTTAATTGCTTAGTCAACATGCTGTGTCCAAAGGTTACAGGTAGGTTTTTTAAAAGCAAAATTTAATCTTGCCCTCTAAAATTAGCATCGTGATCCATTAATGCAAAATGTGTATGCGTGTCCGTTTGAGAGAAACAGAGACAGCGAGGTGGGGAATGGGGATGGAGTTTACTTCTGCAGGCTTCTGACATTATTAGGAAACGTAAATGTTTTAATGCTTCAGTCTGGATTGGAAGGCTCATCTGTTTTACAGTTTTTGAAAGGAAACGTTGCTTCTTGTCCTTTCCCCTGGGTTCTCACTGTGCTTTATGCATTTTAATCTCCAACTGAGATGTCAATTAAATATTAAAAGTGAACACTGACTATTGTGCATGATGCACAATTATCCCATCTTGGGGAAGGACAAAGAAATATTATGTTCATCCATCACCATCTGGACTATACTTAAGTCTTTTCCTTGCAAAGAGCAAGGTAACATTTTTTAAAAAGACACAGAAAATAACTTCCCACCTTCCAAACCCTGGGAGTATCTTTTATATGAGTTCAGAGATGGTAGTAATTTACTGATTCTGTATGTTTGCCGGCTCAAGGTAACTGAAGGCTACATAAGTCTTTCAAGTCCCTCCTCTATGTTACCAAAGAAACAGGTTGGTGGGTTTGCTTTTATAGGATCCCAAGTAAACCCTTCTTATCTCACAATCCTTCTTTTCGGCTTTATGGATTCCACTAATGGAAAGAAAAACAAACTGTATTTGATTAATCCCTCCCATAGCCTTTTAAATGACTTCCCCGTTGGACTTCCTAAATATAGCCACAAAAATAGGCAAACCATTAAAAGTGCAGAGTGGAGGGGGCATTACTCAGCTATTGGTGTAACAGTAGTTGCACTGCCCCTGCGGTGAAGCATGAGAACACGGGCGTCCTAGCACAGTTGATCATAAAGGAAACCCCAAGTGTGGCACCTGCAGATAACAAAGCTTTTAAAGTCAACAGGTGTTTGTTGATGTCCCAACTTAGGCGCTCAGGGTTTGGACTCAGGGAGAGCTTCGAGACCTCGAAAGAAAGGCTGCTGGGGTGTAATGGACACTTGCATCAGAAGCCTGCAGTCAATTTCTAGTTCAGATAGCTTGTTCAGGGACCAGGTATTCAAACTCCCTGAGCCTCGGTTCCTCATCTGTCAAACAGCTGTCACAGAGCTGTTGTGCAGACCGGAAGAGGAAATGTCCAAGTCCATTGTAACACAGTGATCCCTCTGCAGACAGATGTGCCCTACTCCATTACTGTTACTTGTCAGAAGGCAGGCAGTAAATCAATACAACCTGAGCTATCCTGATTCCATGAATCTATATTCTGCTTGAATGAGCCATTATCACTGCAGTTATCCTGAGCTGCTTGATTTTAAGAAAAGAGGGGAAGAACAGAGGGAGGGAACGTGACGGGGTATCTGCTAAGTGGCAGGCACTGAGCTAAACTCTTTCACTTATCTGATCTTATTTCATCCTTACAATAGCCCTGTAAGGTTGGCATTATTAATTCCTCTGTACATATGAAGAACTTGAAGTTCAGAGAATTTAAGTGACTTTCTAAAATAATCACAGTTAGTAAGTGGCTGAGTTGGGATTTGATCTAAAGCCCAGGGAACATGTTATTACTCGTGATGCCTACTGAAGCAAGTTGAAGCATCTATCACATGTTGATTCAAAGTTTGATTCTGAGAGTTCTAATGCCTGGCACTGATAGATACAATGCTTACACCTTTTAAGACTGTGAAAATAACAACGCATCCTCAGTAATATTTGCATTCTACCATTTTCCAGATTTGAGTTTTTTTGTAGAGTTAGTCATAAGCTTTGTCTCAAGCCCTTGGAGGAATAAATGAACAGGGAGACAGGGCAATCAAGTAGAGGGAGGGCTTCATGGCTGTAACTATTTTTGGAATCTCTGGAATAGGA